ATTGTAAATGTATATTCCTCAAGTTGATTAAGATATTTAAGATAAGTAATCTGGAGATTGCATTAAAAGGCTCAGAATAATTACATCTTTTTTCAAACTATATAAAGAGAGCTTTTATATTAAGAACAGACACAATTTCCAGATTTTTTTTAATAATGTTAAAGTCAGGAAATATAATATGGCCTGGAAATAAATATAAACATTATTTCAGGAAACAAAGAATCTGTATTGGCCACTGCATTTAAACGGAAAATGACTGATTATAGCTGAATACTTAGAAGCAATATAACAAACAGAAAAATTTCCTTGAGGTGAATGAATTAAGGAAGTTATATAGCGTAGTAAAATATTGAATATATAGAGGTAAAATGCTATTTCTTTATTGCAAATAGAATAAATTATCAAAGTGGTTATTCCAGATAATAAAATGTCAACAAAGGAGAAAATACAAAGCCTTACAACAAGCAAGTTAAAAAAATTAAACCAGCAGATTAAATCAACAAATTGACCTAAAATATATTACATTTCAACTAAATTATCAACTTCGAACTCTCAAAAATTACCAGTGAAAAAACAAAATTACCATTTAGCAAAATCATTTCATTACTAATGTTAATAATCATACTTTTTGATTTTACAATAATAATTATAATAAGTTAAAAGAGGTAATAATTATGAAATGGTGTAAAAGTGATGAAGAAAAATTATTAGTTGGCATTCCATTAAGCAGTAGAAAGCTTTAAAAATTATGGGAAATGAAATGTTTATCAGGCACCAAAATTCATTCTGATATTATAATGCAACTCTCTGTACAATGCATGGGGTCCTTGTAGTTTTAAGGCATTAGACAAGAACGGACCAACAAACAAACAATGTATGGGCTATTCGACAAATAGACTCTGAAAAACTAACATTGAGAAACATTTGCCAAAAAATAATGTCAACATACCAAATCTTACGGCAATGTTCTGACAAAAACAGCATACTAAGTGATAGCAATGTAAAACTTGAACTCATAATAATGAATTGGCAGGATTACACAAGGAAAAAGTAGCATTTAAAAGAACAATTAACAGAATGTTGTAAAAAAAATAAATTTTAAGAGAGAAAATTTACTCATACTGCATACAGAACCAAACATCCTGTTTGTACGAATAACCACCAAATAATGTGTTGGTATCATCACAAATTCGGGTAACAAGCTTATGAATGTCAGCTACCTTGCCCCTTTCTTTCTCAGGAAAGCTAAGAGGGAAACAATCAGTGAGGTGGGATAGCCAAGCTTAATATTTTATCTGGTACAACTCCGGATGAATCAGAGTCTCCCGTAAAGACTTAGTATTAGTCAATGAAATCTCATCCAAGTAATATTTCTTTATCAACACTGAATACATAATATACATATACATAATATTAATAAAGTGTAATAATAATAAAAGCAATCAGTAAATACGTTTTTGTCTCAAATAATTCCACAATACCAATTTCTGAACATCGCATCGTGAATCTAAAGTTTAGATGTATTTATAAGATAGCAACTAATTTTCAGAAAAACATCATTTAGTCAAATAATCTTAGCAGCTAAAGCAAAATAAAATAAAAAAATAATTATTTTCAGAAATACTCATTGGAATCTCCCGCAGTGAATTTTTAACGTATATCCAAGGAGATTTAAAAAAAAGTTGCTTCAATTCATCAGCTGTCCAACAGTGTATCCTACTACGTGAAGCTGTTCTATTTTCGAAACAATGTTAAGTTTGGAAGGTAAAATACCTACAAAATATGAGTACTTTTTTTATTATTATTTTTTTTTTTTTATTGGCAGTTATGATGGATACAAGAATGTGATAACCAACTATCCCAACATTGATTGAATAAACATGAAAAAAAATCTTTATTATTCTAGGACAAAATCCGTTTAAAACTAATTAAATGAACGTTACATGATGGACTAAACAGTGTGGTTATACTGTTTTTATACTTAATATAAACACATATTCATTAATACGAGAGATAATTTTTTTATCTAAAAAATCGATAAAAATATAATATGAAAAAGGAAAAAACTAGAATTACAATAAAACAAAAACCTGAAAAACGACAGAACTAGCATAAAATATTTTGAGAGTTATTTCAAATTAAAGAGTATATAATTGAACACAAAATAATATTAATGATGAGACTAGGTAAGAAAAAAATATCTTTAACAAAGACAAAGCTTGTAATAGAAAAAAAATAATAAAGTGAAAAACTTCTTCTTAAATATAGAGCAAAAATATCGGGTTGACCGGAAAATAATGCAGGATTTTGATTTTTTCCTAAAATACCCCTCAACATAACAAACTCTTTACGTTTACTAGATTATTCATTTGTATGAATGGCAACACTCATTATTAATCCTCTTCCAAGTGATAGTGTTTATTTACCTCTATAGCATTCCACTGCTTAGAAATAATTCAGTCTTTACTAAGATGTTAAGGCGTGATTTTCATATAATTTTGTTTTATGAGTTTAAACTCGTAAAACCGCCGGAATGGGGCCCAGATGACAAAAACAACAATGAAGTTTGGGAAGAGAGCAGTATTAATGAATGCACTGTTCAAAGGTGGTTCAAAAAATTTCGGGAAGGAGATTTCAGCCTTGAAGACAAAGAAGGTTGTGGAAGGACTTCCTCTGTTGATGAAACCTTGCAGGGAAACTAAACCTTAGCAAATCGACTATCAAGGACCACCTAAAACAGGTGATTGGAAAGGTAAAAAAGCATGAAAGAAACGCCTGCAAAAAACAGTATTGGCAGAAATGTATTTATAGTAGTTGAGACTGCTTTGATTGAATAAAACAGATGTAAATCTTACTTCTTTTCTTTTTAAACCAAAATCCTGCATTATTTTCCCGACAACCCAATATAATTGAAAAAAGAATTTACAAGATCCATTTGCATTAACTTTGTACATATATATTAGTTGCCTCATAATTCAAAACGATAAATTTTAATGAAAGGATAATAATAATAATAACAAAAGTCTTAGATAACCCAAAGATTTTATGGCAATACCATCAATCAGTGTCTACATGCCTCTCTCCACCAGCTTCCATCTAAATCCAACCACGTCAGATCAGCCTTAATGTAATCTTACTACTTTTGCTTTAGTCTAACTCTCGAACATTTATTAGAAGGTAAAGCACATATTAACCTTACAGGATTCTTTCGTTACTAAGCCCAACTTTTGAGGTTGAGGGAGTTGGCAAATGTATCTAAAAATTTGCTGCAATGCAATCACCACAATTATATTAACCTGGTACAGTTCACACAATTCGCCATAGTGTAACCATATAAATTCTCAGGTTGACTCATCCTTTTTTGTTCCAAATATTCGACGTAATACTTCATTTCCGAAATCTTTAGTTATTGTTAATCCCTTAATGTGAATGGCCATGTTTAGCAACCTTAAAGAACCATATGTAGGATAAACGGTTTTGTAAATTCTAATTTTTAAGTTTTGGGACTGGAAGCATGAGCTAAGTAGTTTTGTTGTAGAAGTTAACAAGTATATCCCACCTTCAACCTAACCTTAATCCCTCCTTCTATTTCATTTTTTCTAGTGATCGTAGACCCTACCTAAATTTCTCTGCATGTTCAAATGTTTCCCTTTCTATAGCGATATCTTAGAAATTTTCGGTTTTTGCAGCTAACCATATATTTTGTCTTATTCATATTTATTACAACCCTTAGTTCTTCACCAGCTTTCTGCAACATTAGGTTTTATAGTTTCTGTTCATCATAATCATGTTAGGTTTTATAGTTTCAGTAAACTCCACCTAACAAGACCAAATCATCAGCATAACCAACCAACCAAGATATTGTTCCACCCAGATTCAAACCTGTTTCACATGCATCACCTCCCTAATGTTCTAACACTAAATTCAACAGGACAGGTGAAAGGAAATCACCTTGAATGAAAAGCTCATACTTTTCAGATAAATAATTACCGATTCTAACTTTATTGAATGTTTTCATTATACACATTCTAACAAGATTTACTAATTTTTTTTTAATCCACTGCTAAATTAGAATATTATATAGCTTCTGCCAAGCAATTGAATTATAAACCTTTTAGAAATTTATATAAAGCTGGTGAACAATACTACTGTACCCGGATGTTTTTGTAATATTTGCCGTAAAGAAAATATTTAATCAGTAGTTGAACGATTCTGTCTAAATCTCCATTGGAAGTCTCCGATAATTTCTTCATTGTAATTAATATATTATAACATTAATAAGATATATTATAATATTAATGATAGGGAATCTCTTTTAATGAGAATGAAAATACTAAATTGCTTTAAATTGACAAGTTAAATAAACAATTAAACAATCCTAAAACCTCTTGCTAACTATTCTGATACAACCATTTCCTACTTAAAACATAATAAAACAATACTGGTGAGTTTTAGAAGTTTAAAATGTAAATCTAATACATTTTTTTAATTCAAAGAAAAGATATTATGTTCAACTTGTCTGTACCATGTGCTACTTATGCCTTTAAGTCAAAGTGTATTAAGTTGACTTACATATAACAAATGCCATATCGTTTTGATTTTTAGCTTTCTATAAAAGATAGTGGAAGATATTAATTTTTTTTTTTCCGGTATAATCCTAAAAAACTGTTAAATATCAATACTACATAGAAGAAATGGTATGAGAGATCTTGTTCTTTAGTACTAACCCTATTATATAAAATACTATCTTCAGGACTCAATGGGTAATACTCATTAAAGATTAGTTTAAGTGAGTTAGTAAAATGATTTTTGATTAAGACGGGAAAAATATACAGTAAAAACTAAAAAGGTAAAATATTTTATTAAAATGATTTTAATTTATTAATCACTATTAAGCAAATTGAAATTCAAGTTTCATTTAACATATATCTAACTTTATTAATATATGTTAAAAATTAGTAAATTAATACAATAAATAACGAGAATGTAATAAAACTTACCTCTCAGTTGTAGGATCAGCACAATTCAATGGAAACTTCAATTCTATTACTTCACCGTTTCGTTCTTTTAATTGTCCCTGATTTTCCATATAATACTGAACAAGCTCTGAGAGGGTTGCAAATTTTTCCCCAGCATACAGATCATAGAAGTCTCCAGTATTTTGAATTTTGATGTGTGTAACCTCATTGTTTCTTCTAAAACAAAGAAGAAATGAAAACTTTTCTGACAAAAAAACTGAGGACTTTAAAATAACTAATGTAGAAATTAATATTCATTATTAGATTATAAAGTCCAAAACTGTACTTTTTCCAAAATAATGCAAGAGTTTGCAGCCATATGGCTTGTATTAATAGTAGTGTTGCCATGGGATGCATATTATACGTGTTCGATTAAGTTTCTCAGAATGAGAGGAGAGAGTTATATACATTATGTTCATATATTATTTCTCAAACATATTTTTTTGTGGTTACTCCATATCTTATTCAATTCTTCATTAAATCCAATGATTGTGCCATTATTTTGAAAACTTTCTTCTTCATGTGGGAAAAATAAACACATCCCTGATATTTCAGGTAAAAAAACTTTATTAGCGAATAAAATCATACATTTTAGGGTTGATTTCACCAATATTATTTGAAAGGTTATTAAATACCCTACAAATAAATATAATGTATGAATAAAGATCCATTAAAATCAGACCATTATTAGCAAAGATACAGCTTATTGTAATCTGTTAACATGTTTTGGTTTATTAACATGAATGAAGTTTTAATTTCATTTTTAATACTTGGTCAATAACAATTATGTAGAAAAATAGAATTGATTCTCTTTTCTTATCATATGCCTCATTAGCTTATTTCCTTATTATTTTGTCATTTATTCACTGACCAATTAATCAGTGGATCAGAACCCTTTTTATCAAATTATTAACATCCACCTGAAACTTCTTAAATAGCTTCACCTCATCGTAACCTACAAATATTTTATTTATGAAAATTCTCGGAATTGGGGCGTTTCCAATCTGGAGATCAGCAAACTTTGTCTATTTAATTAGGTACTAAAAATTCGTAAATACCCATTTGCTTTCAAATTGAATCGTTAGATAATTTGAGCACAAAGCCGAAAAAAAAAGGTGGCCTTCAAAAATATTGAGCCATTTGGTATATCTACACCCCCAAATTGTCAAAATAATGAGATTATATAGGCCAAATGGTCCAAGTTTTTGAAGGCCACCTTTTTTCTCGATTTTGTATCAAATTATCATGTGATCCAAGTAGAAAGCAAATGGGTATTTACAAGTTTTTAATACCTATTTAAATCCTGAAAGTTTGGGAGAGAAAGAGCCTCTGAAAGATATTTGGCTCAGTAAACAAGGATGGCCATTGTAAAATAAGGAAAAACAGAGAGGTCGAATAGCTTTTTGGTGAGCCTAATTTTGTGGCATTCATCAAAAAAGGAAAGTTGCGATAGCTAGGCCATGCTCAAAGGATACTGAATGAGAGGCTACCAGAAAAGATAATGAATGGCAGCAATACCAACGCTGAGGTGGTTGGATGACGTAGAGGACAATTTGAGATGGACAGGAGAAAGAGGATGGCGAAGGAAGGCAAAAGATAGGCAGGAATGGCTATCAATTTTAAGTGAGGCCGAAGTCCAACTATGGCTGTAGCGCCATTAAGTAAGTAAATTAAATAGACAAAGTTTTCTGACCTCCAAATTGAAAACTCCAATTGTAATTTCCCCAATTCCGAGAATTTTTGTAAATAAAATATTTGTAGGTTTCGATGCGATGAAGCTATTTGCAAGGTTTCAGGTGGATGTTAATAATTCGATAAAAAGGGGTCTGTACCACAGACTAAATGTACTATGCAAATTATTCGCACTAGCCAACAAGTCATTAGTTATTGAGACAAACTAATAATGGGAGGAAATTAGTCCTTTAAAAAATAAATATATGTAGTCATCGTTATAGCTAGTTATTATAGTACATTATCAGTAGCTTTACTGATGGATTAAATTTTAAAAAACATTAAGTCAATTAATGATACAATTTTTCTAAGCAAAATTACCTGACTGATAAAGTGAAATCTCCAGGATTTGATCTACTAGGTCTTGCAAGGAAAGAACCATCATAGCCTCGTTCTAGAAGAAGGCATTCAGCTTCAAGTCCTGTGACATTAGGATGAAACCATCTAAAGAACAATAATTTTTAATTATAGTTAAAAACAGATTCAGTGAAAGTATAAATTTCAAAAATATAAACTGATACAAAAACATCATATTTTGAGAAAAAAAAATAATACATACACATATATAGTTAGTACATAAACAGAATGGACAGAAGCTAAAATTATAAAGATTATTTGTTAAGTTTTTAGTTATCCTATGCCTTGAGCCGTTTCAGCAATTCGAGGAATAGTAACCCAATTTATTTCTCCCTCAGCCTTAGCTTTGGTTCTAATTTAGGACAGATCATTAAGTTATGGACTGTCATGTATTTTTTGTCGGCAAAGTGGGAAAGTTGCTGATTGGACTTCTCCAATACGGCGTAGGAAGTTTCAGAAAGAATGATATCCATTTTTCATTTAAAACTGTGCAACATCATTTCTTGTGATACCTCAGCATTCGCCATTTCTTTCATATTATGAAGCTTCATTGTTTCTCCTTTAAACTTGATTGCCATTTCCACGCCAACTTTCCCTTGATTGATACTTTGAATTTTTTGCCACCAAGAGAGGTATTGGCTTATCAGGATTATCTTTTCTGGCATTTTCTGTTAGGATGATGACTTTTTATGGCTCAGTTACTGCCTACAGCTCAACCTCAATCAGTTAGCAGTCTGAGGTCGACGATAATATTCTAATCTTCTAATACACGTCTATATTTTTCAAGTAATATCAGAGTGATAAGAAAAAAACAAAATGTTAGTTTCACTTAGTTCCACATCTGTTTGCCCTTGGGCTGCCAACTACTTGTAGTCAAGATATACCTTTCCCACAAGCTGTGATAATAGGAAAACTTATATTTTGCCTCCAGCCCTTCCATCCTTCCTAAGACATATCCATATGGTATACATACAACCATGGGGAGTGACGTATCACTCTCTTATGGTTTCGAGTGCAAATTTCTTGAGCTTTATCTTAGAGTAACTTTGTTTTTATACAATTATATTTTATGAAGAACAGTATTATAAAGTGTTAAATTTTAAAACAATGACAAAATAAAAACTTAAGAAATTTTAATGTTTGGAATATTGAAAGCTTTACTAATTCAATATTTAAGTTATATCTGTTAGAACTATACATAGGGTATCTACCAAAAAGCTTTATACAGAATTCCTTGGCTTATCAAGGCCATTTTTGAAAAATTACAGATCTTATCAAATAAAATATAATTTGATTATTCTTCCTGCATCTAAAATATTATGAGGCAATAAACTATCAAGACAATTTCTTTATTAAATAGCTAATAATTTATAGTCATATACAATTTATTCTTTTGTGGCATAAAGTAGATAAAATAAAAAATATTTGATTTGAAAATAATTCTTTATAAACTGATTCTTATTTATAATTGTATATATTGTATCAGAAAGATATTCAACATTTTAAATACTGTAATTCACCAAACTGAGAACCATATAAATCTGTACCTCTAACACCCATGAAAGATCTTCGAGTTCATTACATTGTAAGTATTGTACTCAATTGCAATAATTGAGTTTTTTATGAGCGATAATGATTTAAAATCATAAAAGCCAATTTCTGTTTTGGATCCCCAAGTAACTCCAGTATTCTGGAACTGGGTGCTGGTGCAATGATATTTGATTTAAATATTACCATCCTAATAGCTGAATTAATTTATAAATACATATATATTACTTTTGGCCTATTTCATTTTAGAAACGTGATGTACATCATGCATTACAAGATTTGATTTTTGATAGAATTTAAGCTAAATAGATGTCACCTCTCTGAAGGGAAATTGGACTACTTTCACACCAGCCACTTAAGATTGATAGTTACTTGGTTATTGACCTTTTTACATACCAAATCCCTATCCAAATCAAATTATATTTTTCAACTTAATAAATATAGAAGAACAAGACAACATAATCTACAATGAAATTTTAAATTCATTCAATTAAAAAGAAAAAAAATAATGCCAAACAGTAAAATTAAACAACTAAAGTTTTTTCATTAGAATTCCATGATTAGATGATAAGTTATTTATGTGCATTTTATCCTTTTACTAAAAACAATTAATTATAACACTTACAACATTATAAATGCACCAATACTGAGATGAAACAATGAAGAAACATTAGTCAGTCTTCCTAAGTAAGGCTTGAAAAGGCCAGACTTCAATTCATGGTAAATCGAAGGAAACCTAACATTATTGTACTCTGGAATTCTAAATGTTCAAACCGATCAGCTATGACATGATCATTGTGTTTGCAAAAATGTTCTCTGTCTATTTTTATTCTCAGCTGACAGCTATTAAATATTCTGTCTATAGCATCAAATCCATGCAACAGGTAACTGTATTCATGATTCAGGAAAGTTTCAATAGCATCCAGTCAGTTTTTTTTTTTTTCAGAATAATATATTTTTAAAATAAGAGACAGTTTATGAGCACTATAAGGCAATTGAAAAAATGGCATTATTGTTCACTGACACATGAAGACTCTTATATTGCTTCGGTAGTAATATGTGCCTCTTTTTCCTTCAAGGGTTACATAGAACAATTGTCGTTTTAATGATGATGAATAGTACCTGTTTCATTTAATTTAATGCTGTAATTCATCCAGATTTTGAATTGAAACCTAATTAGTTAAATAAACATTTTTAAATGATGATGACCAATCAGGGCATAGGTAATTAACACACCTTATAATACCATAGTAATTGACATACAGGACGATTAATTCATGAATACACAATTCTTTCAAATCAACTGAAATAATCATACATTTACAGGGAGGGAGGAGAAGAGATAATCAAAACTTGAACATGTATTCACACTAACGTCAACCAATGTTCGCTACTACGATCAAGTCTGGAAATTATGGTCTCTTAGGTCCAATGTTTTATACCTATAATTCTTTTATTCATATTAATGAAGAAATATATATTGTAGAATATACTGTTTGCCCCAATCGAGCAACTTTTACAACAAAAAAAAAACTTTTACTATATGAAAATATGAAAAAGAAAATTATAAAAAGGCATTTTAAATTTATTTCAAAAATCATAAGTAACAAACATTTGAAAAAATATGCAGTTTTTGTGTTTAAAAAAGTCCCAGAATTTATTTAAGACTATACAAATATCAAGTATTTACTTCTAGATAAACATATTTAAAATTGTCCAATCATTTATTTCCAATAGAGTATATTACTTGTAAAAGGTTAAGTACTATGCCTATCCAACCATTTAATTTACACATCATTAGCCATCCATCCCTTACATAAATACTTAAAACTTAAAGAAACCCAAAATAATGTTAATTTTTCCAAAATATTTTAGAGCTCTAAAATTATTGTTTCAAGGAGAAACCAGAAATCATTATAGTTAAATTAAAAACGAATCTAGGCCCATTGGCAATAAAGTTTTAATATATGTAATGTAGAAAAGTTGTTCATAACATACCTACCTCCCATTATCATCAAATTGAGTCAGACAAATTCAAACTTTTTTTAATACACAAAATCCTAGCTAGCTATAATACTATCAAGGATTAGTGGTAATTGTTTTAATAACTACTACTAAATAAAAATATTAAATCTTAAATATCAATTAGTTTATTTTTATTTAACAAAAAAATTGAATGTTCAAGAAATTCAACAGCACACTAATAATATTGAATTAAATTTAAGTAAAATTTTATTTACATATATACAAATCCAAAGGTAATCTAACTATACCAAACAAATAGAATTTTAAACTGGGCCTATTCATAAATATTAAAATTAATAAAAACAGATCTTTTATGATTTTGAATTCAAGAAATATTTAAATACTAAAAGACAAAGCCTAAATAATTTGGATAGGTAATTAAACAAAATGGTTTGAAGCAATTAGATCATACCCTTCATGACTCACCGGTTCGTTCAGATATACTCCAGAACATTAGAGAAAATTAAGGTACAAATCGAACCTTTTACAATGTTTAAGACAAAAACAATAAATTAAATTATTCTATATTGTAGAAGGCAACAAAAAATAAATAAATATATAGGGATAAAGATGATTTATCAGTTAAACATATTGGATGGACTTCAGAAATATTTAAAAATCAATCAATCATGCCAACAAAAATAGCATTAAAATAGCAAAACAAATAATAACATGACAATTGAAATAAAAAATTCAAGGAAGTTAGTTCGATTAAGAAAACAACATGAAAGAACATGGCATAAAATTGGGACATAGGTCAAAAATCATCATGTTCAAAACAATGAAAATATACCTATTATTTACCTAATATATATAACATAGATAAAACAATAAAAATAATTTTGAAAATAGTAAAACTGGAGAATACTAATAAAGAACGACAAAACTATCATTTGCGCCAAAAATATAATAATAACTCAATCAACAATATCAGAACAAACACAATTAGATACATACCAAATCAAAGAAATCAGTATGACATATTCATTTCAGATAAAATAAATTCAACATAGAATAACTAATTCAGATATCTTTGATTATTACAGTGAAAAGTACTGATAGTTTATCTAACAGGAAACACTTCCTTGTGGGTTCATTTCATTACTGAAACAATAAGAAATAATGTGTTTTCTTTAAGCAATATGCAAAGTTATTGCTACATTAATTACAACACTTTAACAATAAACAATCTATTGCAAGCAATTCTAAATTACTAGAAATCTTGAAAAAGCATAGTAGCTAAGTCTACACTGATTGACCAAATTAAAAGCTGTTATTAAATTAGTAACTTTAACAATTACTGTACTATCAGTACAGTTTAATTTATAAATATTTTACCATACTAATACTGTAATAATAATGTTAACCTCACCGATATGAATGAAATATTACATTTATATCAAATATTACAAACGATGTTTTTAACGTCGTACAAAATAACAGGTCTAAAAATAACCATATTACTTGAATTTATCATTTAGGTACATGTTCTCTAAAAAGAAAGAAAATGCAGAAT